AGTGTTAAAATATTGTCCTCACATGTTGTGTTATCTACAATGTAATTACTGGGGACAATCACAGCTATATGTGGGCTTCAAAAGCTGTGTCACAGAACAAACAAATGGGAGTTCAACACCTCAGTGACTCCTCATGAATCCATTAAATGACGTCAGCGTTGGGTCTCTGGTGAGTATGTATAACACCAGCCATTATCCCACACATTCACACTCACAGGACCACATCAGAACTGAGGGGATCTCAGAGGAGAAAAACAAGGCAATAATGTGTAACTGAGGCAAATTAGTGGAAAGCATGAGTGCATTGTCAGGTCTGGCAGTTAAACAAGACACACAGAAGAACTGCAAAGCCAACCACTACACAGCCTACAGAACTGTACTTTACCTACCAAACTTTTAACTGATGAGTCTGTTGTGCAGCACGACTGAGTGTTTTTCTCAAGTTCCCTGTGGGCAGCACATTTAGTATTCTTAGCTTTTAATCCCACAGAATGGACAAAAGCTGTGGGCAATGAAAATGACAACCTTTGAAATAGTTAATTGCAGCTGAATGAGAAAGTGTTAATGCTGAGTGAGAAATACCTGGCCTACTCTCACTTAATGATGCATATAGAGTCACACAATTTGGGGAACTAGGCTTTTCAGCACTCAGTGGGTGAGGTGGGTGCTACCAAACCGAGAACTTCATCAGAGCTACGGGTCTCTGTTAGGGAGCCATTTTATCTCCTTCTCACGTGACTACATCTGTCAGGAACCACTGAAATGATTTATGATTAATGAGCTGTACTCACAGGACCACATATAGTTCTGCCCAGGAGGCCCGCTCCATGAAGTGGGGAAATCTAAATGTGGAATCTGTTACTTGTACCAGGCTTGAGCAAATTCTAGCTTCTTTAGGAGTCGGAACTGGAATAATGCAGAGACCCAGAGGGCCTAGAAACTCTTAGGAACCATGCACCGCAACAAGAGCAAAATCTATGGTAACTCTTGGAGCTCGCAATCACTAAGATTTGATTCTTATACTCACAATTTGAATTGTTATTGAAAATGATTCTTGTAGCCTTGCTACTGTTGGTGTGACTGCAAACAGAAAAAAGCCAGTGAAGGTATGTAGTTCATGGGGGAGCTCCCCGGTGGGGTGGTCCCTAGAAGTTCTTAGTCCAACAGCCCCTGTCTACCTGGACTTTACAAAAGTAAATGATCACTAGACAAAGGATTTTCAGTAAAAACGTCATGAAAGCTCCCTTTCAAAATTCATTTTAGCAATTGCCTGTAGGTGAACTATAAGAAATGACAACAATATGAAGCTAAACTGGAAGAACTGAGCCAATAACACAAATTTCCTGAAGATTACAACTTTTTTTCTAATGAAAGAAAAAGTACAGAAAAATTGGATGGAAAATTGGAAAGCTGGATGCTTTCAAATGAGGCGGAAAGCCAATGTGCCTGAAATTACATCTAATGGACCCACTGACATTGCTAGCATGCCCATGAGGAAGAAAATGAATGTCCAAACTCCTCTGTGGTGGTGGACTGTAGGTCACAGACAGTCACAGACTGTGCAAAAGTGACACTGTGTCAGATTTATAGGGAACATTATTCAGGCAGCCAAATCTACAAGTCGCTATGTCCAGTGTTGGCATGTAATTACCATTCTTTAGCATATTGGCACTTGGACTGATTGTAAAACACGTTTCACGATAAAAATAGCACAGTGAAAGGTGACAGATGATGACCCTAGGGCTTCAGCTTTTTGCTTTGTCTCCCTGAGAGGAGCTTAGACACTGAGCAGCAGACAGAGACTCTACTTTGTTAAGTAACAGAGCCCAGGGCTGATACATGGGAATCTGGTACAGCAGTGACAATACCAGAGGGACCAGAAACACTTATTTTCTGTCTGTCGAAAGCATGACTGTGACTGTTGGAAAGCCTACACATACTAAGAATCATTTAGTCACAGTGGCAAATTTCCATATAGAGTAATGGCACTGTAGAACTATGCATCAAAATAGAACAAATGCAAAATTACTATCGTGTTCCTCTTCAACCTGTTCTCTGCTCCAGACACATAAATTTCCATAATATCCTAATGTAAATGTGATGCTAGTTATTATAGAGTGTCCTTGAGTGAGCCCATACAGCAAAATCTTGTGCCTTGCTAAAAGGAAAGCTGGAGGGGCACAGGGGGCTTCAGCTTGTTGTCACGAGGATGAATTGAACAAAACAACACATTTATTTTCTCACCTTCATCTTTGCAAAGGGCCTGTCATAGTTGCCGACGTAGAGCAAGCCGAAAGTCTCTGTAAGCAGCCTACAAAGACAAAAAGATCACAGTTAACACCCGCAACACTCAGCACAGGATCTCAACATGAGAGTATGTGAATCGTAACAACAGTGCAAAGATACCACCAAGCTGCTTCCATTTTCCAACTAGTAACAGAACAGCGTAGATGTGAGATGACACCTTTCTGAGCCCTTCTGTCTCTGTGCGCAGCTTGGTGTTTCTCAATGCACAGAGAAAACTACAGTATGGGCCCAAGTCAGTGGAAATTCTGAGAAACGTACAGACTGAACACAAGTTCAGGGGCATTACTTCATTATATCAACTGTCTGTGAGGTGACTGTGAGCTCTCAGCACAGTTTGTTCAGACTTTATATACAGTAGTCTTGTCCCTCAGTACTCTCAACATTTGTCTCATCCCAGAGATCACGCCCATCAGAGTGTCTTAATCACACACTGCTCCCTACCTCCCTCCGTCAAAAACACCCCCATGTACCCGTTGTACACTTTGTCCGCCATTGTGTGCGCCATGGACTGAACATACAAGTGTGGTTTCATATTATTTAACCATTTTTAGAACACAAATAAGGGAGCTATTGAGCTCAACTGACGGCTAAACTACAGTGCGGGTATAGTCTGATGCACCTCATAGAGAGATTTCAATTGGAGCTGAAATTGGACACCGTCTTTCCATCCACCCAAACCCCCTCCTGTGTAATGATAGCTAGCACAAACAGGAAGGAAGTGGCAGTAGACTATTAAGAGCGATTGAAAGAGCCAAATAGCCATGCAGTGATGGACAGTGTCCAGTGCCAAGCCCTAACAACACCAAGTCCGTTCTCGTCACTGGCTCTATTAATACTTCAGACTTGGGTGACAAATACTTATTTCCTAAACCTGCAGGTCTTGAAAGAAGAAAAAAGAACCGATGACACATTTTTCAAACAGCAACAGTAGGATATCAATGCGATTTTCCCAGAAGCGGTGGAACTAATGACAAAACAGATGAGAGTATATACGAGTGCCTCAGAACAACAGACGGTTTTGTTGTTCACAAGCTGTTTCACAACGTTGCGTTGATGCTCTACTCACTATCTGAATGCGTGAGGCTCAGGTACAACAGAATGTCTCACAGTCTTAAATTAGACTGCAACAACATCAATTTTCCTTTGAGGTAGATGAATTCAGGCTTCAACAGCACAGGGAACTGAGACAAATGGATTCACAGAAGCTGTTAAATGTCAGTGTAGCCTCAGAACAGCAAGCAGTCAGACCTCTGACAGCTGAACAACAGGTCAAATGGTTTCTGAATCCACAGATGCAAAAAAGCTTGGAAAAGCACATCTGTATAATGTCAAAACAATGAGTTACTCTTAACAGCCATAGCGGCCCAATGTTTTAGGACATTACTACATTAAGTCTTTTAAAATAACAGTACATTCATCTTCGGAAAGAATGAATGGGCTCAGGGTGGAGGGAACTTCACTGGAACTGGCTCAGTAACTGTAAGGTGCCCCTTTCATTAAATCCTCTTTCAGTTCCAGGGATTAAATATGTGCAAGTCCTTACCCACTGAACTCAAAATGGATCACGAATGGCATCCTTTACAATTAGTGCTGAAATAGCTTTTAAAGAGGAATCAGACACTTTCATGAATGATCTGGAGCTTGTCAATGAATTTTGTTCAATTATCATTTGTGTTTTGTACTCTGTGTATTTTCTTGTTGTGCTGTGTATTTAACTATGTGTCATTGCACCACTAGCTGCAAGTATGATGGTATGTGGGACTGAACTAGTGCGTTATTAGTTTTTGGTCTTGTAATCAGTCTGCTGACAATAATAAAAATCTAAAACACCATCTATAACCTTTAAATATGGCAATTACAAGAAGCCAGTGTGTTAAGATGCACGTTAATAATAATAATGAAAAATTCTGAATATTATTAACATATGCCAAACAATTTTAACATCACTGGAAAAAATTAGACAAAATCCACAAAACGTCGATGCTGGAGATTTCCAGCACATTCCCTGTGATACTGTGCCAGCTGGTTTATTAGGATGCCAGCTCCAGAAATCCTTGTGTCCATACAGAGAAAACTATTCGCTGGGGTTTGTAACAGGTTCAAAGTCCAAAAACAGGCTCCGTGTTTGTTCTGCAGCATCATTCATATTTGTGCTGATGGCTACAGTGCTGCAGAAGCTCTCTGGAGATATGAGCTCCACTTGCTGTGAAATACACTACAAGGGAAGTGATGGCCTTTCTCACACAAACCCTCTGAAGTTTCTAAATTTTATATGTTACAATTTATCAAGTAAACTAAAACTGACTGTTTTGGGTAATTGCAGTTAAAGAGCAACAAAAAAATACTAGGTTATAAATTGTTGTTTGGTCCTTTATGTCTGATTTTTTTAAGAAAGTGTGATGTGAAGGGACAGAAATTTGATTAAAATACAATTAGTGGCAAGTAAACAAGCTTGGAAGCAGGGTTAGGCAGCACCACTGACTAAGGGCCACTGGTTAATAATCATGAGATCATCTTGACAGAAGAACTACCAGTAGCACAACAGAATGAAAAATGGACAAAATGGCTGCTATACAAGACTCAAAATGGCAACATCAGAATGGAGCAAACTGATCCACGAATAGAACTGTATGGCAGGTGGAAAGAATGTGAATGAAAACTTCTTAAAAACCTCAAAAGTGTTGATAATGTGTTGTCTTTAACCTCCCTTTGATACTTTTACATCATCTGTCAAAGGCTGTGTACCTGACTGGAAAGTCTGACAGTGGATTAGTTACACAAAATATGGATTGGGATGCTGTAATGACACTTGAGTCCACAGAACAGACAAGCCCGTAACAAAAGCCCGGATGGCTGGACGCCTCTAGAGACCCAACCAAAGCCAGTCAGACAGTACCATTCGCCTTTTTCTGGCTCTTCAAAATCACTGCAATCCTAATGGATGATGATGCAACTCTTAATCATCACCTCTTTCGACAAAATACTGGCACAAGACATCCAGAATTCAAGCAATCCATACACTACTTATTAATTCCACATTTGGGGGGTGGGGTGGTCATGCTTTTTGGAATTGTTTCATCTTTCCATTTTCCTCTTTACCTCCAGTCTTCCTTGCCTCACAGTAATCACTGTCTGCTTTTGTGTTTACTTTCAAGTGAAGATAATAAAGCTTGCAAGGCTGTATGCCTCAGTGGTACACAAAGACGTGCTCAAGGATTGATTGTGTGGGCTGATGAATAAACAGTTGTTACCTCCTTACATGCCTGTCCATCTCTCTCTATCGCTCGCTCTCTCCCTCTCAGACAGTAACTAAGGAGAGATCTGAAAACCTACACCAAGAATGAGTGAGTGATTCTCTGCCAGCAAAATTCATCTTTCGGTGAAATATCTGAACGTTCTCAAATGGTAACAATAATCGTCTGTGTTCTCCCACACACAGGGAGGAGTCTAGAAGCCGACTAGCTGGCCTGTTAGCTGGCTTTGGAGTCGGATGAGTGACTGTGCCCTGCTGTGATCCTCTCAGTCTGTTGCTGGTGAACGGTGGCAGGCTCATGGCTACAAAGCTGGAACGGTCATGAAGGTCACCTGGCTCTCAGAGGAATAGGCAGCATGACCAGAAACCTGACATCCATGTGTCTGCTTGCTCAGACAATACTGACAGGCTGAGCTGCAGAAAAGCACAGGGAGCAATGAGATATAATGCGCAATGTGTGCTTACAAGAGTGAGGAGAGGCTACAGCCACACTAGCAGCTTTGTGAGACTGCTTGGGCACAGAGGTGCTATGAGCTAAATCTTATCAAGAATTACAGCCTTGTGGTTGTACCCCTCCGCCAGTCAGATTCACAGGTATGGGACAGAAGTGAGGTCACTGACCTTGACCTTTGACCACCAAATTATCTTTGAGTCCAAGTGGACACTTGACTAATTGAGTGGACCATGTGTAAATATTATTCTATTGGGTGCAGGTGTCGATTTAGTTTTTTCTTTTGGTTTTTTTTTTAAAAACAATTTCAGGAAAACATGCATATTTTGCAAACCGTAATGATAATCCACCTAAAGTTGTTGGAAAATTTGTCTGGAGTCCAAAAACATGGCAAAAAAAAGCTGAATTCTTACACCATTTGATTTAAAGTGCTTACGTTTATATATAGTACAAACTTAAAAATGTACTGCATAAGGTGTTTAGACTACTACCAACTGTACAACTAGCTTACATGTAACATAGAAAAAATACATGCATGTCCAAAGTCTGTAATTATCTGCAGGAACCTGATTGTCTTTTCTAAACTGAACTGGTTTTCTGCAGAGCTGTGATGTGTCTTAAGATGACAGCTGGAGTGAGCACTAGTGAATCTGAATAATTTATGTTGCACATGATAATCAACATAAAATGGGAGAAAAAGGAAAGGCCAGCAGTGTTTTCCTTTGGACATAAATAACATAACAATTTTCTGGGACTGCAGACAGAAACTGCACATAAACAACGCCGGTAAAAAGAATGAACCTTTGCGCATTGTAGTAACATCATAGTAAGAGAAATTAAACCCAGAAGCAAAAAAGGAAATGCATGAAAAACATGACATAAAATAGAAAAGAATAATGTTAAAGGAATTCAGGGCATTTCACACAGACACACAAACGGTACATGTAGATGTCTCAGAGTACTCCAGCGTGGCAGAGAGTGATAGGTGCTATTAGTTTTGTCAGACAGTGTTTCCCTGGCAACAGTGACTTACCCTTCTCCTCCAACTTTGGTGATCTTGAGGCGAAAGTCCACGGAGTTGAGATTGGGGGGCTTCCACTTGAGGATGTCATCACACCTCCCGGCCTTGTATCTCTGCAAGGACACCCGAGCCCCCCCCCAAAAAAATGATCATGTGGTAGGTGTGCTGGGGTACATCCATTTGAAAACTGCTTTCAGCAACAGGGATGAGGATGCGTTTCTAAAAGTAGGACTTTATTTTTACCAACCCACAAACCCTGCAGACTTAACAGTTGAGTAATTTCTGAGCCGAGCTGTAATTTTAAGTGGTTGTCGGGGTTAATGAGCTGAAAACCCTCATACAAATTAGGCTCCATTATAATACACTGTTGGTGTCTAACTACATAAAGCACCAAGACATGGAAATGAACTGAAATTATAGGTTAAAAATTTGTCGCCGGGTATCAAAAACATCATGAAATGCAAACAAGTTCCTGACAGAAACAGGATAAAGAGTTTGTTCAAGTACTCCACATTAGAAATGAAAGTGGGAAACTGTACGGTAGGAGCACAGGAATAGATAGGTAAATATAATGAGGCTGACAAATTATGATTCAACATGATTAGATTTTTCACACATCACAGCTAGTGCAGTGGAACATGAGAAATGTAAAGGCATGACGGGTGGAGGCGGGAACAGATGACCAGATTCTGTCACTGTCAGGTTGCCCGGTAACAGAAGTCTACTCCAAGGAAATGTGTGGAAAACAGACAAGATTCCTCAGGAGGACCTGCGCTGTCACAGTTCCTTGCTCCACCTACATATGCCCTAAGGCAGGATGTTAAAAAAAAAAAAAAAAAACCATCATGGGCAGACACAAACACACTACTACCACTACTTGTCAAAAAACCTACCTCACTCCTCCACAGACACAAGACTTAGTTTCTGAGTTTGGCAAGCTGCTGAGATTGCCAAATAGCATAAAAATCTTAGTTATTCTAATAACTTTCTGTTGATTCAGGGTCAAGCCAAGTATCTACAGAAATTAAACTTCTGATACTGCAGCCCAGATTTTACATCCAATGTCAAAGTTCAGTGCCACTGCAGGAATCAGACCAAGTTCTTTCCAATACCAGGTGCCTGTTGATGCAGTGTTCAATCTGAAACTTAGATTTACTTAAATGTTGATTAAATATGCATCTGACATTGAAATACCAGCTGTAGCTTTCTAAATGTGAAGTCTTACTTTTCATGAGGTACTCAAATACTGAATGTCCCGGTTCTAAACTATAAGGTTGATAAGCTTAAATTACAAATGAGAATGAAATGACTCATACGACCAGCTAAAGAGAAGACGTCCCGCTCCGTTTGAATAGCAGAAACCCGGTTCACTTGTGTGTGTACAGTGGTGTTACTCAGTGAACCTTCTTCCCTCACAGAACTCTTCAGCAAAGTACAGACACCAGCTTGCAGAGAGTGCACAAATCTGACAGTAAACAAGTTTTATTTTGTCCTGCCATCTGTGGACACCTGATATGACCTGCACCATCACTGTTTGTCACATTAAGCATAAAAGTGATGATCTGTGTTGGCTACAAATGAGAAGCTGCGCAGCTGCTTTCGCACTTCATTTCTCGAGCCCCGCTTGCTTGTTAAAGTTATATCAAGCCAAATGGGGAAGCAATTGAAGAAAACAATGAACCCGCACCATCCTCTGTTTATTTTATTTTATTTTGAAGTGCTATAGTTCAAGCTAGAGCAGAAAATAGTTGTGCTTCTGCTTTTCAGGGAATAAAAAAAACAAAAAACAAAACTGGTTGTGTTATTTCCATCTTAAATTTACAATGAATGAACCCATTCTTTAGGAGTAACAGGTGCTACTGGATGTCATTGTGTATTTGTTTGGTGTCTGCAGCAGTTGTCATACAAGCAGTAAAAAAACCACATACTTTGTCACAGTTCCTAAACTAATATGCTCTCATTATAAGATTAAAATCCTGTACTGACAGACAAGTTGAAATTATAATACTGCAGTTAACCCAAACTATAAATTGGTCGGGTCAATAGCAGGTTGACTTTATCATTTTATGTTTAGAGTGAAGTAAAGGCAAGTATGTGGTGTCCTGCTTTGTCCACAGTGGAGCTCTCTGTGTGGGAGGTGGCCTTCACATCCCTTTTAAACAAGCACACTCCACAAAGAGTGCACGTCTCTGCTGAAGAACCTTGTCTCAGAACATCTTTTCTCCTGAAGCCATGGGCGTGGGAAGGAGCAGCCTTCATGAAGTTACCTACAATATGTTATACTGTACAGGCAAACAAAATACTGCATACTGTAGGAACCTCTTGTGAAACAATGTATTCCACTTATGGAGCCCTGATGTGAAATGTTGATAATATTACTACTGAATAAAAGAGAAAGATGTTTGGTACTAATTTCTCAAGAGCTAAAATAAATTGCACTGAAAGTCTGCATGGTTTGTGTGCGTCTTTACTGAGGTAAAATTACAGAATAGTTACGCTTCTAATAGTTAATCAGCCAGCCCTTGAAAAGCCACTGGCCTGAGGATCTGTTGAGACTTGTTTATAACTGGATGCTGAAATGTGTTTGCTACATTTTCAATCAAAGGATAATGTGCTTTAAATGAACCCAAGCCTGCAGAACCATGGCAACATCCCCATGAAAACTCAATCAGACTGCAAATTAAATAAACAGGTGACCTTCAAATTCATTCCTAAATGTAAAAGTGCTGCAAGCTGCACTTGCACTTTCATTACTATATTGTTAGTCATGTCAAAAAGTGACTACACATACAAAACAAGCTTTATTATTGAAGTGCAAAACAGACCTTCAAACCTGAGCTTGCATTCAGGAACACATCTCTCACCTATCAAATTCATTTTCATAAAATGATGTTTCATTGCTTATAAATTGCCTGCTGTTCAAAGTCAGAAACTGTCAGGCTGAGCAGAGGAAAAACCGAGGGCCCTGCATACTGTGATATCAAAAGTGTACCTGTATGGCTTCTAAATTTAAAGAAGCAGAGAATGATAAAGTACCATTACAATGATTGTAATTACTGTATAGCTAATCAACTACTTTAACTGTCGGCAGAAGAATGCAAGAACACCTTTCTGGAAATGGGTGATAGTCACACTAATAAAACTCATCATCCCGAAGGCTGCAGCCAAACTTACAATAACACTGTGATTTAAAACTTAGACCTTTATAAGAGCTGCTAGTTTTTAATTTAGAAGAACTCCCCTGCCTCTATTATGCATATATAATTTGTATGAAAATGTCATAGTGATCAAATATATTTCAGACTAGACCAAAGTGGCGGACGACCAACTGAGATACAATGCCGTCCCTGGAGTCATGCAGCTAGCTTGGCTAAAATTGACTTTCTATGACTGTGTCTTCTATACCGTGTTTATCGCTTATAAAATATACAGCTTTGTAGCTGAAAGTCGCCTTGAATTAAATTAACAGACTAGCTTTCATGAATAAAAACATTGTAAATCATTGCTGGTTTATAAAATTCTTTTAATATATATATATATATATAAAAAAAAGGACCAACCTTATCCGTTAAGAGCAGTTTTAGCTCTGAATGAATTATTTGTCAATGATATGAGATAAATAAATACAGCCAAAATCTGCAGCACAGTTATTCATAAACACTACGTTGCATGCTTAATATCAAAAGGCTGATCATCTGTGACTACACACATACTGCACCATCAGAATCACAGATGTAGTGAATATAGCAAGTTATTTCAGAATCTATGCATAAGAATCAAAATTTTAGTAAATATAGTAATTCTATTGGAGAAAGGGAAGCTTACTGGAGAGTGTGCTTCAAGATAAGCCCTTTGATTACCATGTTTTTCCAAAGTCTCATTTCAATAACAGCTTTTTGCTTCAAGGCAGGCTTATTGTTTAAGTATGCTGCGGATTATAGACAAAGGGCTGGACAAGGCCAACAAATCTCTTCCCCAGAGAAAAGCTCCTGCTGGTACGGTTCAGACACGCTGGTCTTTGAGAGTCACACTGACACTGTGTGCGTGTTTGTGTGTGTGTTTTCAGAAGGGCTTTGGTGTGAAAGTGCAAAATGGTGCAGTGGCATAAGACATTTGTCTCAGACTCTCAAACAAGGATAAGGAATACAAGAGTGGGGGAATGCCAAAGAGTAAACCTTGAGGTAATCGGACAACAAATACCACACACAGATACTCAGAAGAATAGCGAAGCCCACCTAAAATGATTATACTGATTCATGGACCACATAAAAGACACAATAACCATTGATGTGACCTCACAAACTCAATCTTGCGTCTCCACAATATCATATTCTACAATATGATTTAAAAGGTTCAACTTCACTGGGTCAAAACTTAATATGAATCAAACCTTCCGTACAGACTTGGCTTTTTGAGTGGAGCTGATATTATTCAAGTGAAGAAAGAACAAAAACATTTCTTTGTACTCTTTGTACAGAGATCACCATCTGGAGTGCTCTCCCATAAGCAATTCTGCCATCTGTGGCAACGGTTCTGTTATAAATCAAAAAATCTTTCCAATGTTCACTAAACAAAGTAAACATACTCCAAGGACACCATGTGCTGGGCCAGATAACACACCGAGCGACTGTGAGCTGCTGTAGTGGCAACCTTTGTGCTAATATTAATAGATATTCACAGCAAGACCGTACTGAGATTAACCCTGAGACCACCTTAATCCTTTTTACACAAGAAGAGATTAACAACACACACACAGGCTGGGGTAAAGGTTGACAAAAACAATGACTTTGGAAAACAATCTCAGTGTGAGGCAGTGTTATTGGCCCTCTACATGTACAGTCTATTAATGTATGCTCTTAGTGATCATCATACTGTTGCATTTTCAATAATCTGCTGTGATTGTGCCTTTAAAAATGACTTAATAAGCCTGAAATCTTATGAAATATGCAGTTTAACTGGCCAAAAATCAGAAGCAAAGTCCAGTGACTTCTGTGATGGACTTAGTCTTACTTTGATCTAAATGCTAATGAGTCTAGCAGGTATAATTTTAACCATGTTCACCATCCTAGTTCATCATGTTAGCACCTTAATATCTGCTAGTAAGCACTAACCA